TCTGGGAGAACTCTGGAACAAAGTTGGACATCACCAGCTGTCTCTGCAAGGACGCCACCACCCTGACGCAAACACACAGGAGACACAGTCAAACCCAGAGTCAAAGTGAAGGAACAGTCCGTGACGTTCACTCACCTCCTGAGTAGAACCACTTTAGCCTCATTAGCATAACCCATTGGAGACTGGCTGACCAAACATCTGTCAAACCACATTACAAACCAATCATACAGCGGTTTTGACCAGGAGCTGGTACTTTTTATTCATGTATGTGTGTGTGTTTACCGTGCACATTGAAAATGTTTAACAAACTCTTCAGCTGCTCCCAGCCTCATGACGGCAGCAGCCCTGTCGTCCTGTTTGTCAGCTTGGTCCAGGAATGACCAGACAAACTCGTAAACGTTGGTATAACTTGGAGCAATGGGAATAATTGTTAGAATTACACAGACAACTGGGAGTTGAGCCTCTGCTCAGAGAGAAACTCACTCATAGTTGAGCAGAGGCTGGTTTTCCAAACCGGGAGAATGCGTCGTTAACACCGTTCCTTTAAGATAGGCCAAGTACTTCATTGAAAGTTCTTGTTTGAAGCTCTGCAGCATCGACTCTAAACCAAAGGAAGACAAGTGAGACGGCAGTGAAACTGGTGAACTGTCCACAGAACGAGACTGTGGACTGAGGTCTGGTCTAGTGCAGCCATGTCCAAACTACGGCCCGGGGGCTCAGGTACGGTCCATTAGGGTTTTGAAACCCAAATGATATCATTAAATTATATTATCATTAGATTTATGTCATTTTGACTTTTCCCTGCAGTACCCAGATTTTCCCCAACAGATGGCACACTCCAGGGTTGAGGTGTATTGTTGCTGAAGGCTTGTAAATTCAAACAATGACCATGACAACAAAATATTTTCTCACTGGCCCCGGCCCAGGTCTGGTGTGACCCCTCAGTGAGTACCTGCATGTCGTAGATGAGCGTCCATTTCAGAGAGTGTGATGTTGAAAGTCTTCAGTCCTCCTAACAAAGTACAGCTTCTCTGGTTGTTCCAGAAGTCACTCCGTTTGTGACTGTTGCAGTGACACACACTGCTGTGAGTCCACACCGTGCACTATTGTAAAAAACAAAAAAACAAAAAAATCATTTAGAATAAAAGTATCTAATAACACATTTACAATTAGAGCTCTATTTAGTAGATGTGGATCATTGAGATTAAAGCAGCAACAACAAACAGACACAAAAGCAAAATCACATAAAAATTAATCAGTCATCAGTGAAAAAACAAAGTTTCTGTGAGAGTTTCAGAAAAGAAATGTAAACATAATAAACTGGTGTCTCTGAATGTTGAAACATTAACACAACCAGGTTTTATACATTAACCATGTGGTGTTAAAGAGACGACAGCGACCAGACCAACCACCATCCTCAGGAACACACCGAGCCTTGAACGACAGTCACTGAATGACAACAGATTCTGCCTTTTAAACTTTTATGAATGAATGAGTTTTAATCTTACCGTTGACACCAGTTTGTCACAGATATAACAGAAGCACTGATCACAGAAGAGCTGGTTGTCGGCAACAGGAGCTCCGACCTCACAGTCCGTGGCCCTGCTCAGTGTCGGGATGATGTTACGGTTGCACAGGAATAACGTTCAATGTGTTTGTGACAAAGAAACTCACGTAAAAGGATGTATAGGACAGTCGTAGCGTGCGTGAGGCAGAACCTCAGCACGACGGGAATAGGTCACGACCAGGTCTTCTTCTAAAGCACCCGAGGACAAGACGTGGTCTGGAACAGACAGCAGGAAGGAGTGTTAGTCTCACCTCCAGTTTCACACAGTGAATCCAGTGGACAGTGGAATTACCCTTCATCGTCTTCTTCTCCTCCACCGTCTCCACAATGATGACCGAGGCCTCAGTGCAGGACATTTCCAGGTAGTCGTCGTCATCATCGCTCAGAATGATTATTTCTTCAGCGTTCCCCATGAAGCACAACGAATCACTAACAAAATAAAAGGAAACGGAACGGAAAAACGGAAAAAATCAGACGTGAACTGATATTCACGATGCATGTGTGTATCGTGTTACTAGTCCAGTTCACGGAGGGGTCACGCGTTCAACTCAACGTACAGGAGCACATGAAAACAAGACTTAAACACAGAGAACACACGTCACACTGGCGTTAAACAACTGAACTACACTGAAAGATATTCAGTGTAGTTCAGCTTGAAATACACAGTTCATCATTTAAAGCAGTATATGTGAAGCTGCAGAGGCCAGAACCTGTCGGGGACAAAACGGTCAACTCTAGTTGGTGGACAGTGAAGACGGACAGTGAAGACGGGTTTTTTTTGGACTGGAGTTAATCTTCAAATTAAACGCATCTGTCGTGAATATAAATACAGACTTTTTGAAACACGGTCGCCGTCACCATTTTAAACACCAAAGGTAGCGACCAATTAGCTTCCACCAACACTGATGTGTTTTAATAAGAGTCGTCGTCCGTCAACACGATAAAGTGATTGTTTGTTTGAAACCGAACATCGTTTTGAATAATGAACAAGTGAACAAGTTTGAATGTTGTTGGGGTTTGTTTTTTTTGGAGTTAAAGGACACTTACCTTCTCCGAGACGTAATCAAACTAATCGCGCCTCGGCAGTCAAACATTAAGACCGGATATGACGACACTCTTCTTGGGTCGGAAATGACTGTTGGCAAACGACAATTTTACATGATCGCCATCTGTTGACGGGAAGTGAAACATCAAGCGATCAAGACAGAAATACAGTATTTCTGTTCTGTTGAGTTTGGTAAAAAATGAGTGTTTTTACCTAAAAACAGTTTTTGTCACTGAACAGACTTTATCAGGTGGAGAGGAAGACGTTTACTATCAGGAGAAGACATGAGTGAACACAGAAGCTGAAACACAGTGGGACAGAGAACTGTTTTATCACATATACTAGACCACAATGGTCATTTAAAGAGTTCTCATTAGGAACTATAAGGAACCACTAGTTGTTTCTTGGAGGACAGTGACCACAGAGGACACCACTGTCCTCCGTGGTGGTAGAACTGTCTATATTATCACTATATTATCAGTGACACTTTCAACATAGACCATGTGGTTTATTAAGAAGAATTTCTGTCAATAATTTTGTACTTACATTTATTGTAATTTGTTACAATGATGAGGGTTTTATGCTTAAAAAAAAAAAATCACACAATCACACACACTCATAACATTTGTTCCACACAGAGGACAGTTAGCAGAGATGAATTCAGCAGCAGCGCTGCTCACTTTGTCCTTTTGTCAAATGTGTATCTTCTTGCTGAGGTTCTCTGGTTCTCCTCAGTCTGGATCAGTTCATCTCCAGATTCTTTAGTTGGTCTTGGTCTCTGAGTCAGTCTGTCGTCAAGTCTGGGCCTTCGCTCTTCCCTCTGCTGCTCGGCCTGTTCATCCTCAGGGCAGTGAGCAGGCATCACTTTGAGCCAGTGCTGGTAATAACCACGGAAACCATCGATATGTACCAGGTAGTTGTTTCTGGACTTGTACTAGAATCAACGGAACCAAAGAGTTGTTTAAGATCAGGTGTGGATATGAACAGAGTTGGTTTGTTGATCTTTCTACTTGTTTCTGTACAAACATATTTATTAACACATCATTTCTTTTAAAGAAGGAAAATAAAGATCATGAAGAAATCCTACATTTGAACTGAACTGACCAGCACTTGTCACACACCCACCTGGTCGTAGTTGGGAGGATACTGAGCAGCAAACTCCAGCTGTTTGATGATGACCTCATTAGGCCCCACCCCCAGGGCCTTCATCGTTTTCAGGATTGTTTGCAGGTAAACGTAATCCAGTCTCCGAGCTGCTCGGCCGATTAGAGCGGAGAACACCTGGATGTTAGGCTTAAATCCAGCCTCCTGCAAAACAGCCAGAGGTGATGCTGTTTTTGTTACGGTCTGACAGTCGTAACCACGAAGGTGCAGACGTCGTTTCTCACCTCCATATGCTTCAGCAGCTCCACGGCGTCCTCCTTCCTCTCACAGCCTAAAGCCAAACACCCAAATGTTTGTATGTTCACTTTCACATTGTACTGTGGCATCAGACTCAGCACAGCCTGGAAACAAGGAAAACCAGGTCAATATTAATTAATGTGCAGTTTGAGGTCCTTAAGATGTACATTTATTTAGTTGTGTGTGTGTGTGTGGGAGAGGGGATACGGGGTGGGGTGGGGGGGGGGTTGTTGTACCTTTGCTGCCTCCATATTTCCAGCTTTTGCTGCTTTGCGAATGGCAGAGTTAAAAAATGCGACATCCAGCCTGACTCGATGCTGCTTGGCTGTTCTGAGCAGCATCTGCAGAGACGCGTCACCAGGATCCACTATGTCCACCAACTGGGTCAAGGTTTTCAGGTCTGGTTGGAGTCCATCAATCTTCATCTTCTCCAAAAACCCTGCAGGTCCTCCGATCAGGGCCAGTCGATCCGACGGCGTGTCCACGGTCCCGAGGGAGACCACTTCCCCGGTCCTGCCTTCAAAAATGTCCAGCACATTAGGAGCGGAGGAGAACCCTGTGTCCACGGACGGGCAGATGTCCTCCGTCTGTCTGACCGGGATCAGTTGGTTGGACTCCTGCTCCGGACACGTCTCTGCAGCAGCTGGGAGCAGAAACAACTGCTTCTCCAAGTGGTCCACATCCATCACAGCTATGTTTGTGGACGTCCTTCTGACGTTCTTCAACACCGGACTCAGCAGAACACCAGAGGCCAGGCCGGGGTCACCGATCCCACAATCCCTCGCACATCTCAGGAGTAGATTATAGTTATTGGATTGAGGTCGAATCCCTGACTTTAGCATCTGGCGCCAAATCTAAGAAGAAGAAGAAGAGTCAGACTCCAGATGACACCCGTCACCAACATGACTCTAACCTGACGATGTGGAGGAGCAGACCTGCGTCATGGACAGAAACATCTACAACAAACTGACAAACTGGTATTAACGCTGGTAACACTAACCTGTTAACCTGCTTTGAATAACAACACAAACAACTTTGGTCAGACTTGTTTTAAGATCATCATCTTCATCATCTTCATCTGTTTACGACCACATATATTTACCTGGAGAGCCAGTCGAAACCCTGTTTTTTTGTCCTTCAGACAGGCCATCAACAGGAAGTGGAAGGTGTCGTGAGTGACGACGTGCCCATTCTGCAGCATCTCCTGCAAACACAGTGTAGCCGTTAGCACGCCCGCCTCGGAAGAAGAGAGTCCTGGGTTGGATTCCCAGAGAACCACATCCTTGATCATGTTAATCCTCCTCTGTCAGTCTAAATGTGAACACGTGTACAGACAGACGCCGCGGTCATACCCTGAGAGTGTGAACGCAGGCCTGCAGATGGTTAGTGAGGGCGTGCATCTTGAGAAGGGCGTGGTACGTGACAGTGCTGAGTGGGATGTTTTTCCGGCGAAGTTCTTGCTCCAACTTCAGAGCTTGCTGAAGACCAGCTTGTTTACTCGGAGCCTCGGCGCAGGCGTTGAACAGTGCGGTGTAGGTGGCGTCCGTCGGGACGAGCCCTCGCTTCTTCATCTGGGTGAAAATAAGTTTTAGACTCAGCAGAAAATTCACTTTAGGCTCAAATGAAAATAATAACTTAAATATGGATTTAAATCAAACAAAAAATGCTGTCGTCAAATTGCAATTGATTTTGAATTTATAGAAATAATAACGGGACTGGTGTTTGAATTCATGTATTTCCGTTGTTGTTCCGTGGACTCTGGGACAGTGATCTGTAGATGACAACCTATCAGGCTGCTTCATTTGGACTAAGTTAACGGGTTACAAGTACATCGTTGTAGAGTCTGAAGGCTCTCCTCGTGTCTCCTGCTCGGCCACAGCCTCCTATCAGGACACTGTAGTTGAACTCCTCTGGCCGCAGCCGCTCCACCCGCAGCATGTCCGTGCTGAACAAATCCAGCGCCTCCTGTAACTGTGAGGAGGAGACAAACACGTCAAACAAACAAACAAACAAACAAACAGACAAACAGAACAGACCAATCAGACACACCGACCTTGTTGTCTCTGATCAGCTTCCTGCACTGTAAATGGTACCAGTAGGCCGTGTTTCTCCTGGCCGGCCTCCTCCGAGCCAACTCCTCTTCTTCTTCTTTCCCCTTCTCTTCATCCAAGGCGTCATCGTCTCGGTATTTCAAATCCTGAAATTCAGGGCTGCTTTTTTTGAACAGCCTCCTGGAGGAGATGTCAGTAGACAGGGAGCCGAAGTCTTCGGTCTGGTCTGTGTCTACGGAGGCAGCACGCGGCAGATGTGCGTCCCGGTGACAGACGCTCGACCCGGACACAGACCTGGCTGCTGGGGCTCTACATACATAACCAGGAGCGGGGTTGAAGAGAGTGTGTGTCCGCTGTAGTGACAGTGTCTGGAGCCCCGTCAATATCAGAGCATCAGTCACCAACTTCCTGGTTCTACTGCCGTGACGAACACACGAAGAAGCGACGGATGTAAACATGTCCTTTAGTTTTCGGTTTAACGTTATTATAATTAGTTTAAATTCATGGACGACACGTCGGTTTGCATGTGCGTCGTCTCCGTGCTGGGCACCATGTTGACTGAAGGACAACACAGTCAGACTCGATGAGTAGAAAATCGACGAAGGTTAAAAAAAGAAAAAAAACAGCCACTTCAGTTTTTACAACACATTTTTATTCAAGCAAAAACACAAAGGTTACAACTTCTAGAAAACTAGTGATGTACGTTCTTTGAGAGCTGTGTTAGGATGGGGAGTACATGATCGGTGCATCAAAGATCGATTGGTGTGGCCTGGTACTCCAATTCGTCCCCGTGCTTTCGCCCCCTGTCGTTTTTCAACTGTACCTGCAGTATTCTTTTCCTCCCCAGGGTGAGGTCAAACAACTGCTGTGATGACACAAAAGTTCAAATAAATAAAAACCACGTCAACGCGCTGTTTATATCTGGAGTTTCTGTGTTGTTTAAGATCAACAAAGATCTGGGTGAAAGTTAAAGCAGTTCAGCTCTACTTTTATTATAAATCAGTTTCTTATGACGACACACAAACAGAAAGTTAACAATTTATAATGTATTTATTACATCGACATTCAACAAATACAAATTTGACACTTGTAGCACATTTTTGAGTAACCAGCCAAATTAGACCCTGACGACACCAGGTACCATGTCATTGAATTAGGGCCTAAAACTGGATCCAGGATAAATATCACATGGTCATGAATACAGGTATGTTAGCAGTGCAGAACGTCTGTTGCATTTGTAACAGCAGTGTGAGCAGCTGCAGCTGTGCAGCGTGTTCACAGAGGTGATAAATGTGGTGGTTGAGCCACGTGACTCTGAAACAGAGTGATCCGATCCAGGAGGGTCAGTGGTATATCTCTGATCACTGACGGTAGGTCTTCATGGTGCAACGGATAGATGACCACACTGAGGGCAGATCGCTCAACCAAAAACCTAACAGAGACAAAGAGGAAACTATTCAGAAACACAAACCTCAACCCTGTCTACAGACCCACCAACACGTGATCCCAGACCTGTCCAGAAGAGCTTTCTGCAGGGTCCGACAACCCACCAAGGTGCCACCCATAAACATGTGGCACATTATGACACGACGGCATCGCTCCATGAAGTTTTCCGCGGCCGATGGGTCAAAGGTGCCCTTGCGTGAGATAAGACAGAGGCGTTGCAGATGAGAGCAGGAGGACAGAGCTTCAAAGAACGATGCGTTGGCATTCAAGTATGGCTGCTCTAACCTAGGAGTGGAGGAAGTCACAACAAAGAGCTGCTTTAAAAAAGAACACGTCACAGAGAACATCTCATGACAACATTAGCAGGGAAGATTTGTCATAAACAATTCAGTCTTCTCACCTGAGTTCCTGCAGCTGTGTGCACTGCTTCAGCATTTCTAACAGGGCTGGGAAATAGTTCATGATTTTTAACGAGCCCAAGTTGGCCAGCGATAAAACCTTTAGGTCTTTGCAGTGTCTGGACATCTGAACGAGCCCCGTCCCCCTCAGGACCCCGGGGAGGCCGGCCAGAGTCAGTCGACGTAACCGGGGCAAATCCTCAAGTGTGGCTAAATGTGCGTCCCCAACTCCTTGAGCCCACGCACACATGCCTCGAGGCTCCACGCTGGCGCGGGTGCAGGGCTCAAGGCGAGGCAGCGCAGAGACAAACCCAGGGCCGATTATCTCTAAAGTCTGTAACAAATGGCACCCGGCTAAGAGCTGAGCGAGTCCTGAGGTGGTGTCTCCTGACAAAGAGCCTTCTGAACCAACCTTGTACGTCTGGATCCCAACACGCGGGGCTTTCTTTAGGCCCAGAAGCACAGGAGAGGGAGATGCGTTGTTTGCAGTAATGTGAGGTGTGTTCAAGCCGTCCAATAATGCACAGGCCGGTAAGGTGAGTGAGTGCAGCTTTCTGAATTTGGCCAAGCTGCCACACAGGTGTGTTTCATCACCCAGTCCAGGGGGCTGGTCATGATGATAGTGTGTGTGCATTAGGTTCAGGTGTTTAATGTTCGAGTAGCCAGTCGCCAGGCGACTCATTATTTCAGGAACTAGATGATCTTCCACATTTCTGCATTCAGTGTAAAGGACCTGGTTGATCCCACTGAGGTTCAAGCTGTTGAGCTGTGTCACATCTTTGATGCCCCCCTCCAGGAGAGACTCAAACACCTGTGGCCACAAGGCTGGACAGCGACTGAAGCTGAGGTGCTTCGGACTGTTTCCTTCCAAAGCTCTCCTCAGTGAAAGAGGATCCAGCCAAGAGCGAGGGAGCTGCAGAGCTTCCAAGTCCCCGTGTTGACCCAGGCTTTGGGCCAGTGAGGGGCCGGCAGACCAGTGAGCAGGGTTTGGGCCAGGAATTGAGATGAGGAAAACTCTGAGCCTCTTTGGGACGTGAACACTGAACACTGCCAGGTATAGAAGGAGCAAGGTTTGGTTGACCTGTGGGGGAAGACGGAAGATGATTCCACAGGTCTGAAGTGTTCAGGGACTGGACATCGTGTGACCTGTGTGTACTGACCTCTCCTGGTGCCAGCCTTGCAGTGAATTCTTCCAGCTGCTGATAGTGCGGTACACTACTTTGACCTACCATTAACTGACAGCTGACGCCAACACCATCCCTGGTCACATCTGAGATGTCAAACTGTAGCATCAGCCTGAGTACACAGACACAGACACAGACAGAAAAAATGTTTTAGATTAGCAGTCGACTCAAACCGATGGGTTATTGTTTTTATACACGTCTACATATGATGACAAATGATGGCTGAAACAAAGTCTATGTATCTCATCCTTACTTGCGCAGTTGAGCACAACACGGCACAACACCATAACTCGGGGTCAGTAGTGTCTGTCTGAGCTCGGACAGACGGCTCAGCGTACCCACAGCCTCAGAACTGAGCTGAGCTGAGTTAAACCCTGCTGTCACGTCAAAAGCAAGGGATTTCAGCAAGGTGAGCGAGGAAAGAAGGCGGGACAGACGAACGGAGGTGAGGCGACAGCCAGTGACATCGAGATGTGTCACCACCCTGCAGCAAGCAAGATAGTCCAAAGTTGATCCGGTCAACCAGTAGCAACCGTTCAGGCTCAGTGACTGCACATGATTGATCAACTGCTTCAATATGACGCGGAACAAATCATCATTGGCCTATAAGAATAAAAAACAGAGACACAAATGAAGGTTTTCCTACACAAACCAAACACTAACAGTGAATTGTAACAAACTAAGATCTGTGCTAACAACCTGATACTCTTCAGACAGGCTGACATGGCTCAGCAGCGTCTTATCACGGCACAGTGACTGGAGCTTGTGGCAGACGTTTGACACATTCAGCAGCAGATCACACACTGGAACATGGCCAAGGATGCACAGCAGGATCTCGTCGGACAAGTCCAACATACCTACCAAGGATGAAGACATTGTGGCTCCACGGCATACAGCCTGAGACAAACCAGAACCGTTATCGCTCTGCCTTTTCAGAAAAATAACAAAGAATCCACGGAACACGCGACTAGTACTTATTGTTAGCACACGTTTCCTCCACAGAAATAGAGAATATTGAACACGAATGGTATTTCCAAGCAGGCAGAGTTATTTTACATGTAACATTAAAGGACGTCTTTTACTGCTATAACTCACAAAACTATGAGAAAAAAAGTTGACATACATTTCAATGAAGTCGAAATTAGCCTTGATATAAGCTAGTAGTTTAGCATCAACTAAACAGTATGACAATAATCATCTATGGATACGTTTTTACAGCTTACCAACCTGTGCGGCCTGAACGTTTACGTCCCCAAAAACACCCGTGACTGTCCCACTCATGGTCGGTGAGATTTTACATGTTTATTCAACCATTTCCCTACGAACAGCTTTACTGTGGACAGAGCGATGACAGCACGGACGGTATTCGCTGATACACAATGACGGAGGATTTGACGGAGACGGACACATTTCCTGTCAGCTAAGCTAATCATCTATTTAGTTTAGTTTAGTTTAGTTTTAGTTTATTTAGTTATCTTTATGACAGTGTTGCTAGTATAGTTGTGATTCCTGTGTCCGTTTACATTTTTATATACTGTATGTATGTATGTACAGGTACCTTTTATTTTTACAATAGAAGTTCATCATTCTTAAAATCTAAACGTCAACGTTAGAAAACCCCAATAATGTGGTTCCAACGACATTAGACGTGTGCTGGTTATAACTTGACCAGGATGGAAGACGAGGCCATATTTAAATCACTCTTAACATTGTTTTTGTTGTCCACAAGATGGCACTATAATGAAACTTTTGGTGACGTCATCCAATCCCACCATGCTTTGAGTCATACGTATTGTTGTGGGGGAGCTAGAAAACGTTCCAGTGGTGCTGGTATCAAGCCTCAGAACTATCCACATGTGGATATACATTCTTAAACTAAAATAGGACAGAGATTAAAACATTTATTAAGTTCATTTATGTAAATTGGCCAACAAATAGAAAAACAATAATGTTTTAATTGGCCAAAAAATATATTTACACCCCAGCAGTCAGTGACAGTTTAAACCATAAACATGTCATAGTAGAATCCTAGATCTTTTTAATACAGTATTATCATTACAAATGGCTTTAACACCTGATGTCTCATAACTAATAACTGATCATCTCTTGGAACTACATTCACCCTGGCTTTACAATTTCAAATGTCAATACTCTTAGCTTGGAAATACCCATTGGTGTAAAGACTGTGACAATCAGGTCAAGTTTAATGTGCAGTAATACTGTTGTACACCAGGAATGACTGATGTGACCATAAATAAAGACACTGGAATCAAACTGGAATCTCAGACATGTGCGCTTTATTGGGTTGTTGTGTACACCAAGAGGCTCGCAGCCCCATGCACAAACCATACACTTCCAAACAAGGTAGAAGCTTCTTTCTTTTGCATAATGATGAACTCAAACTGGATCAAATATTGTTTAAGGCTGAAAGTACAAAAAAAAACAAACCCAAAAACCCAAACAAAAACAAGTCCCAGATTACATAATTTACATATTAAGCAATACTACAAGTCTGTTGGGCCGTGAGCCCGCCAGAGAACAAACCTTCATAGAGGCAAATAAGATGGTGAACAAAGACATCTGGAATGACCTACACAAATGCAACAATGGACACATTCCTCACACATTCACACCACTAGGAATGCTCTGCACCTCCTTAGTTTCTCCCCATCAGGGGGCGTGGTGACATAGCCATGGTTGATGAGGGAAATGGATGAGGTGTTGTGGGCTCGGCATACACCAGTGTGTTGGTGTAGGCAAGTTGTGTACGCAGAGCCTGTCGTTTGGGTGTGTAGCAGTGTGTTCTGGGGCAGGGGACTGACAGTCTGTTTAGAAGCACTTCCTGTGGACGATGCTGGGGCCGGACTCATCGTACTCCTGCTTGCTGATCCACATCTGCTGGAAGGTGGAGAGGGAAGCCAGGATGGAGCCTCCGATCCAGACAGAGTACTTCCTCTCTGGGGGAGCAATGATCTGGAAAGAGAGCGCCAAGGTTTACGATACCGTAAATGCAGCTATACTACAACCTAGTGGCAGTTGAGGTTAAAGCTTTCCAAAATGTAAATGCAGATACAAACCTTGATTTTCATGGTAGTGGGTGCCAGGGCAGTGATCTCCTTCTGCATACGGTCAGCAATGCCAGGGTACATGGTGGTTCCTCCAGACAACACGGTGTTGGCGTACAGGTCCTTACGGATGTCCACGTCACACTTCATGATGCTGTTGAAGGTAGTTTCATGGATACCACAAGACTCCATTCCTGTCGAGAAAAAGTATTTACAGAAACAAATTATTTAACTTATTTTTGCTCTTAAACTCATGCCTTCTTCAGGCGTATCATCCACCTGCACTCCTTTTTCATTCCCATCTGATTAAAGTACATTTCCTGGTACTTTGAACCATGTAACTTACCAAGGAAAGAGGGCTGGAAGAGGGCCTCAGGGCAACGGAACCTCTCGTTTCCAATGGTGATCACCTGTCCGTCAGGCAGCTCGTAACTCTTCTCCAGGGAAGATGAGGAGGCAGCAGTTCCCATCTCCTGCTCAAAGTCCAGTGCAACGTAACACAACTTCTCCTTAATGTCACGCACAATCTCACGCTCGGCTGAGGAAGAGAAGAGCACAACAGGTCAGAATTTATACACACGACTCTATTATACAATATATATATAAATATATATGCTTGTTCGGACTTCCAGTCGGAACACCGCCAAGATGGCCGCCTAGCGGAGGAACTCCCGGTTTAACCAGATTAACTAAAGAAATACCCCCATACAAACCAAGAAAATAATTCAGCGAAAAGCGTAGAGAGAGAGGAAGAAAAACTATATCACTACTTTGAGCAGTAAACGTCGTTCGAAGACGGAGGGGAGGAAGACGGGTACAGCAACAATTAGCAGCTAACAGGTATAAACTAACAACCAACACAGAACTGATCCTACACCAACTAAAAGAGTGTCGCCAAGAAAATAAAGAGCAATTAGCGACAATAAAAGAAGAAATGATTAAGGCGAATGCCAGATTGGATGAGATGGAAGGACGAGTTGGGAAAGCGGAAGAGAGGATTCAAAACGCTAGTTATTACAGCTGTGCTACAACTACACTCCAAGCTGGAGGATAAGTTGACGGAGCTGGAAAGCTGCTCCAGACGCGAAAATATAAGGATTTATGGGGTGCTGGAGGGATCGGAGAAGGAATCAACCACAACGACAGAAGAGGATACTCAGAGACACGCAGAGTGTTGAAGGAAAACAAAGTCCATTGCCGGACCCTCTTCCCTGCTAGGCTGCGCGTGAAACACGAAGACGGGACTAAAACCTACGATACCTCAATCCAGTTAAGGGGGGGAGGAGAATCTTATCAAAATTAAGGAAAGACAAATTGGAATAAATAAATTCATAAATAAAACCTCACCTGTGGTGGTGAAGCTGTAGCCCCTCTCTGTCAGGATCTTCATGAGGTAGTCTGTGAGGTCCCTGCCGGCCAGGTCCAGCCTGAGGATGGCGTGAGGCAGGGCATAGCCCTCATAGATGGGCACAGTGTGGGTCACACCGTCACCAGAGTCCATGACGATACCAGTGGTACGACCAGAGGCGTAGAGCGACAGCACAGCCTGGATGGCCACATACATGGCAGGAGTGTTGAAGGTCTCAAACATGATCTGGAGGAACAAAGAAGAACACTTTGGTGAGTGGAGACATCAGAGCTGGATGTTGTTAATGTGTTAGGAACAGCACAGCAGTCTGGTTAATGTTGAACCAGTCGGAGGTTAACCAGTCAAACTACTGTTAACTAGTCTCAGTGCAACACATTTTGTTCTTTCATGCAGTCACTGGTGGTGATTAGATGTTCACCAACTACCTCGACAGCTGTGACCATGCTACAGATCATCATTCAGATGCACCACAGCACAGACTGACAGAGACCTGAAGCTGCAGCAGGAGTGGAAAGATCAGCTCAGGACAGAGGAAACCTGGAGATTGAGTAGGAGGAAACAGCTGAAGGAGAGAGAACGCCAGGGCGGAAAGACTGTTCCTGGTGTTGGGCCCTGCAGGTGAGTGGAGCAGGGTCAGGTCCAAGTCTCACCTGGGTCATCTTCTCTCTGTTAGCCTTGGGGTTGAGTGGAGCCTCAGTGAGGAGGACTGGGTGTTCCTCGGGGGCCACTCTCAGCTCGTTGTAGAAGGTGTGATGCCAGATCTTCTCCATGTCGTCCCAGTTGGTGACGATACCGTGCTCAATGGGGTACTTGAGGGTCAGGATACCTCTTTTGCTCTGTGCCTCGTCACCGACGTAGCTGTCCTTCTGACCCATACCAACCATCACACCCTGGGGGAAAAACATGGATTAAAAAAAACCCCAAAAAAACATTTTTTTTTACAAAGCCACCAGCCTGAGGCAGCTCTGGACGTGTGGGCTGGTCTTACATGCCAGGGCACGTGTCACTCAATCTGATTGGCTGCTCTAAAATGAAAGCCTTAATGAGGTGCAGTTCACCAGCTGACCAGCAGTTCACACATCCAGTGTGGCCTCAGGTTTGTCTGGGAGCTCAGTATACCTGATGCCTGGGACGTCCGACGATGGAAGGGAACACAGCACGGGGAGCGTCATCTCCTGCAAAGCCAGCTTTGCACATCCCAGATCCGTTGTCGACAACGAGGGCGGCGATTTCCTCATCCATGTTTCTGTTGAAGAAACAGGAAGTTAGAAGAAGGGACAAAATGAGGTTAAACTGATACGGCAAACATCAACTCTGCTTTAATTCCTGTAGTTACAGGAAATGGCCGCTGGAGGTCGCAGTAGCGCACGTTACATCTCAAACCCAGAGCTGAGAGACAAAAGGCAGTTCTCTCTGGGTCTGGCCATGGCCATATAAGGCAAAAAGTAAGATCAGCCCGGAGACAGTGGCGGCCCGGTCCTCAAGTGACACCGACGCCAACGGCCACTCCCTTCACCAGGAAGTGGACCTGGACCCGGAGCCGTGTCCGTGTCCCCACCGAGGTCCAACCACGTCAATCAAACATAAACCAACACTCATTCAGCCGTAGATTCTCTCTCATCTGTGACCGTGAGAGTCGACGCTGCCGCCGCCGCCGCCCGTCTGTCTGTGTTACCGTGTTACCACAGCAGCAAAGTTCACCGACCGCAGCGTGTCTGTAGGCACAGCCGGCGGTGGGTCACCGTCATAAAGGTAACTTACAGTGTTACAGGGCTGCAGCATTACTTTAGCTGAGTGCACCCCCCAGAAGCCCCCCCCTCCCTCCCCTCACAGCATCATCCTGTTCCACCTGACACACACACACACACACACACAGCACTGAGGTTAAAATGAGTTTTAAAAAAACCCCAACACACGTTTGAATGAATGACGTGTGAGTCCAGAGTCCAGCGGCTGCTCCGACACGAACCTCTGGTCAGAACACACGTGCTGCTCCGACACGGACTGCGTCACGTTTCCTTTCCAAACAGTGTTCAGAAACAGTAGTGATAACTAAGTCTTACCTGTGCGGGCTTTGTTTGACGACGGGACAGAGACAGAATCCGCTGTAGTGTCTGGACTTGACTGCAATGGATGCCGATCAACCGCCGGACTTTATCATTGGTCGTGATGCAGCCGGTATCCATAAAAGGAAAACTTTCCTCACGGCAGCGTCTGATTGGTTCCATCGCTTCGAAGGGGCGTGGTCGATAACGGCTCTGCGCCCTGCCCAGACTGGTGTGTGTGGAGAAGACGACTCTGGACTTGTCCTCCTCTTTGTTTGTCCTGTTGGCCCTCGTTGTTGTCGTGAACGCAACAAGCTGGTGCAACACACAGGAAGCGCGCGACCGATCACAGCTATGAACGAGCACGAGCCTTGAAGGAAGCTGCAGTGTTGAATTAATGTCGAGAATAATTTAAGAAAAAAGTTGAGGTGGAGTCGACCGTGACCTGGATGAGTGTGTGTGTGTGAGTGTGTGTGTGTGTGTGTCATGGATACTGGAGGTCACTGGGTCAGAACATGAAGCCTGGGTCACTGACACTGACACTGACACTGACAGTGATCACTGTATATGCAGTACCAGTGTCCACCACACACACTCTTACACACACCATAGTTAATAGTCGTGTTGACGTGTGGACATGTGGACGTGTGGACATGTGGACATGTGGACGTCAGGTTCTGTCACTGATTCTGTCACTGATTCTACCACACACACCAGAGTTCACCTCGACCCAGGTCCACACAGGTGTGTCACATTAGAATGTTTGGGG